CTTTTGCCAAAAGCAATTCAGTTTTGTTTCAGTCGCTTACCACTAAGGTTTTTTTGTTTTTGCTTTTTGTTTTGGTTGTTTGGCTGTCTGTTTTTTGTTTTTTTGACAGTCTCCGATAGCCTAGACTGGCCTTGAACTCCACATGTAGCGGAAGATGACCTTATACTTTTGATCCTCCCGCTTCCGCCCTCCAAGTGCTGGGATTACAGGTGTGTGTGCCATCATGCCCAGTTTATACATACCCAAGGTTTCACGGATGCTGAATAAGCACCATCCTGCTGGGCCACATCTGCAGTTCCCACTAATACAGTGATTTTAAAAGGAAAATTTATGATGATGATGATGGTGGTGGTGGTGGTGTATGTGTGTGTGTATATGTGTGTAGGTGTGTGTGCGTGCACACGCACGTGCACGTGAATGCCTGTTGAGGTCAGAGGGGTCCAATCCTCTAGAACTGGATTTAGAAGTAATTGTCACCCACCCATCGTGGGTGCTGGGAATTGGACTTGGGTCCACTGTAAGAGCAGCAAGAGCTCCTAGCCACTGAATCACTTCTACGTGCCCCCTTCCCTCACACTAATAGAATCTTAATACAGAAACAGGAGCTTGAGCTGGGGTATGAAAATGGACGAACTTCACAGGACCGAATCATGATAGGGAGAAGGGGCTGGCGATGGCCACTCCCAGATCCTAAACTATGTGCTTAAGAAATTTGATATGAAAATAAGAGAGGGAGAGATTGTCTCAAAGAAGCAAGATTAAGTTATCCTCTGGACAGACACAGTATTAAAAGAGGTCTTCTTGTTAGCAGTCAACAGCCATAAATGGCCAAGTCATGGCCTTTGTGTATAGACATATCTTCTATTAAATAGCAAAAGTCATTGGAGATTTGCACCCATGAAGACGCCACAGAATTCTGGAACTTGGAATAACGATACCCGGTAAAGAGTGCAACCAGTCAAGCAAATAATGTCACCCCCTCCCTTTCCGTCAGAGAATTAGCATCCTGTTCTCACCCCACCCCAGAGGAGCAAAAGTCCCAGTTGTGGAGACAACCCTGCCTTTCCTTGACACTGTTTCCTGCTAATCCCCTGGGGCTGACTGTCCCTGGCGGGTGCTGATACAGCTCTCAGGTCATCTGTTCTAGAGTTGGTTACTGGCCAGTAGATCACTCCATGGCCATCACCAAATCAGACTCACACTAGCATGAAAGATTTAGGGTTTAGTTCTTCAAAATTTCTCAAGCCTGCCAAGCTGAAGTGTGTGGTGCTCGACCATTGAGGTTGTTATTTCCTAAACTTTCCCAGATAATCATTAAAACTGCACATGCCAGGGCACCTCCCTGGAAGAGTCCGTGGATCTGAAGTGTGACCGGAAATCTGTATTTTTGTCACACTCCCCAAGAGATTTCTATTACCAAGCACGTTCTGGAAATTCTTCCCTGAGACAATTTAAAGATACCCAAACCAATAGACAGTAGTTTGGTTTTTGAGGTAGCGCAGCCATGGGCACGAGGATCTTCACTGTCAACTCATAAGAGGTCTTCTAGATATGGGCAAAGGAAATTCTCTCTCTAAGAGACACCTGGAGGGCCATTCCGGCTGACTCTCGAAAGCTCACAGACTATGGCCTTGACCTCACCATCCCTATCCAGCTGGGTGTGTCTAAAGGTTGGAGCAAGAGCCACTGGAAGTAGTTTTCTTCCCACAAACTGTAAAGGCCGGCCTGTGTGACACCTGCCCTGTTTCTCACCAGCATTGTATTCCAGGTGTGCTAGAGCCAGCTGTTAGTTGTAAGAAAGAAGCTACACAAAGACTTGACCCAGAGGCTCAGGCATAGCCAGGAAGGAATCCTGGACTTGAACTTGTTACCAAATTCCCCTCTATGCTCGAGCTTCAAGCACCACTTCCATACCCACCGCAACTCACTCTTTCTTCCACTGCCTAATTTCATTCACTCAGTCAGCACTCTTCCCCCAACACAGATATAACCAGGAGGTGTTTGGATGACACTGAGGCTCAAAGAGATGACGAAAACAGCCAAGAGATAGACACAACACTGCACACCTGTAATCCCAGTATGCAAGAGGCTAAGACGGGCAGGACAATATCAAGTTCAAGGTCAGGCAGAGAGAGGTACTTAGTGAATTTAAGATCAGCCTGGCCTAAACAGTGAGACTCTGCCAAACACACACACACACACACACACACACACACACACACACACACACACTGCATCTATTTAGTCAGACATCACATAGCCAGAATTTGAGCACTGGGGTGTTGGAGCTGCAACCACCACTCCAGGCTGCTTTGCTGATGAAAGAGAAAAGAATCACACTGCCACATTTCTCTTCAAAAGAAACAAACATCTCCATGGAAAAGAAACAGGAAGGCGTGAAGCTTGCCAACAAAAGCAGCAAGAGAGCTCCCTCCAGATGCAAGGAAAGTTGTAGAGCAACTTGAAAATGGTTACAAAACAACCCAGGGCAAAGCAAAGGACTTGGGCGAATAGGAGAACAGAAAGAGAAACATAAAGAAGCCCTGGAAGTGAGAGCTGCAGGGTCTGGACAGAGGGGAAAGCTAAGGACAGGACACAGTTGAACAAACAATTAGAGCTTTGGAAAATGCAACTGAGGGATTTTCCCAGAACGTAACACAAGAGGTTAAAAATAATTATGAAAGTCCAATTACATGAGCCACATACAGACTCCATTCTCCTAAACCCTGTCCCCAGAGCCTTTATATTAATTTGGAAAAAAAAAAAAAAAAGCCACCCTTGACTGACCCACAGTGAACAATCTCCACAGCTCACTCTCAGGCAACAGCTGATTAACTGAGGTCAATCACAGCCCTTCTCTGAGATTTCTGGCCTGGAGTTCATAAATAGGTCTTGGTAGCTGTGCTGGCTATTTTTATATCAACTTGACACAAGCTAGAGCCATTTTAGAAGGAGAATCTCAATTAGGAAAATGCCCCCACCAGACTGGCCTGTGGGAAAGCCTGCGGTACATTTGCTTGATCGATGATTAGTGTGAGAGGGCCTAGCTCTCGGTGGGTGATGCCACTCCTGGGCTAGTGGTCCTGATGCTGTAAGAAAGCAAGTTGAGCAAGCCCTGGGGAGCAAGCCAGTAAGCAGCGCTCTTCTGTGGCTTGCTCCAGTTCCTGCCTCTGGGTTCCTTCCCTGACTTTCTTTGATGATAGATTGTGATATGAAACCAGAAGCTGAAATAAACCCTTTTCTCCCCAAGTTTCTCTGGGTCAAGATGTCTTATCACAGCAGTAGAAACCCTGACTAAGACACTAGCCCTCTGGTGAGTGAGTCATGAGCTATCCAACCCCCATTTCCTACCATATGACAATGTCACCGAATGGCATGACTTCTAGAGAAAAGGAGATGAGAGTGTAGTCAGCCCGTGAGGCTCTCTTTCTCCACATCTCTTCTTCCAGGCTGTATGTGACTCACTCCCAAATACCCCCTTTAAAATTATAACAATTCTGAATTCTATTATTTTTCTTCCAATAGAATGAATGAAATGCCAAAACTGACATTTTCTTTAACTATTTGCGGGTTTTCTTTGGAGAAATTGTTTTTTGGATATTTATCCATTGGGTTTTTTGTGGGGTTTGCTAGACCCAGTTTCTAGCCTCCTAATCCTAATTCTCTTCCCCCACTTTAACAACTAAAAGCTTCCCCATCTTAACATACAGTTAAGCAAAGGTCCTCAATATCACTAGCTATGCCTTCTTAAGACAATCTCCTACTCTATAGTGGCCACCTAACTCCATCACTGCCTGCTAGCTAGATCTCAAAACCATTCACTGGGTTTAACAGAGAAGAAATTCTCCACATCCCTGACAGGGAAGCAGGCCACACACTCTCGTTAGCTGTAGAGTATAAATTGGAACAAATTCTCTGGAGGAGAATTTTGAAATACATTTCAATAATATCAAGAAATATTCTGCTTTGGGGGCAACAATTATACTACACAGATAAAGGAGAGGAAAAACCAAGGATAAGGACAACTGCTTCTTTAAACACCGATGTGAAATGGGGCTTGGTGATGCGCTCTTGGAATCTCAGCACATGGGAGGCTGGAGAAAGAGGATGAGAGCTTCAGGCCAGCTTAGCTATACAGTGAAACCCTGACTCAAAGAAATAAGCAGATAGGTAGAGATACATAGATAGATAGATAGATAGATAGATAGATAGATAGATAGATAGATAGATAGGTAGATAGATGATAGACAGACAGACAGATGGACGGTAGACAGACAGATGGGCCTAGAGATGGAGCACCAAGAGGTCAAGCACTTTCAGATCACAGCAAAGGTCTGATTCTTTCTGTACACTGAAGATCTGCACCCGTGAAGACAGTATAAAACCCAGAACCTGGACCAGTGATATCTGGGAAGGACGCAGCCAGCCAAGCATCCCATAATGTTGTTCCTTCCTTTTTCATCAAAGAATTCTCTCCCTCCCCACCAGAATTCACACCACCACCACCCAACCAACCAAAAACACAGAAATGTCTGCAATAATGACATACTTTAAAATAATATTTAGAACTGAAGAAACTCAAAGGATAAAGAAAGTCCTTGCCATATAGATATGAGGACCTCATTTTAAATCCCCAAACCCATGTAAAAGCGAGGCATGGTGGTAAATGCCCTATAACCCTAGAACAAGCGGGGAAAGACAGGAGAAACTTGGGGTTCCCTGGCCAGCCAGACTAGCCAAAATAATGAGCCTCGGTTTCCTTGAGAGACTCTGTCTCAAAATAACAACAACAACAACAACAACAACAATAATAATAATAATAATATGGAGAAGCAATTATGGAAGATACCCTCTGCCTCCTAACTGGTCTGTCTGCATAGATGAGCCCACTTGCATGGCCCACACGCAAACACAAAGAAAAAAAGGAAATTATTAATAAGATGGAGAATTAAGGTATTACTAAAGAAGAAAAGACATATGACATATACACAATATCTAAGTTAATCAAAAGCATGTGTAAAGTATGCTGAGTGTGTAAAGGTAAATATACTCATCCCCTGCCTTCATCCTCAAAGCAGTCAGGGCTCTCCCCTTCTGAGAACCAGGAGGGTGAGGTTGGGAACTTCTCTCCACTTAGTACGGAGTTCTAAGGGTGTGCATCAGATTCTCCATAACTATATCGAACCCTCCAACATCAACAACTTAAGAGGAGAGACTTTCGTAGCTCATGGTTTCATAGTCTTCAGTCCAGGGTCTTTGGTCCTGTTGATTCTGAGCTTGTGGTGAGACCCACTGGTGTAGTGGAGCAGTAGGCTACAACCACGGCAAACAGGGAGCAGAGCTGCAAGAACGGAGTAGGGACCAGGTTAGCATGTCTCCTTATCTTTTTCCAGAAGCCACTTTTCCCAATTAGATCCCTCCTCCTAAAGTGCGTGGGACCTCCCAAATACAACAGACCCAGCCGTCACCAGACGAGCCTCTGGAAGCCTCTCGCTTTCAAGCCACAACCCTCTGGTGATATCTCAGGTTCTTTGTATTATTCTTTTTCTGATACTACAGCCTCATACCTATATTCCAATGGCTGTTTTCTCTTCCACAATGATATCACCTCCACACTTATTACAGTTTAATATTTATCACCATATAGATCACATAGTGGAGGACCTCACTATATCTCAAATCTACACAGAAAATAAGTAGACACTAAATATGAATAGCCTTTAGTCTGAATTTGTTAATTGGAACATTGCCCACCTTTTTGTAGTTTTGAAAATGGAATTGCCAGCAGTTACTTAGCATCACGAGGATGCACGCCAACTTAACTGAATCTTGTTCTTCACCATTTAGATAATCTGCCAATGTTCTGTGCAGTGCTGCAGTGAACATGTTGGTATTCAGGTCTCTTGCCAACTGGACCTTGCACGATTCTATAGACATAGACCAAAAAGGGTCCTGCTTCCCCTTCTGATAGAGGGGAGACATTTCCAGAAACAGTTACAGTATGAGTCATAACGTAAGTGTCCAGAGGTGCTGAGAGATGCATCTCAACCCAGGAAGGGAGCAGGCTTCCTGGAGAAGGAGGCATGTCAGTATCTGCCAGTATCAAGCAGAGCTTGAGAGAGGGAGTTTATCTGCTTGGCAGCCACAGAAAGCTACACGGGAGTGAGCTACTCCCATGGCTCCTGAGAGCTATGAAAACAGGGCTTTGCATAGAGTCAGAGAGTCTGGGTTCCCAGTCTCTGACTGACTGGCTTCGGAACAAGGCAGCTCCCCCACCGGGAGGGCAAGAACTTCAAATCCCTGCCCTCTCCCTCATCCTCCCCCTTTCCCCCCCAGCCAGGAGAAGGGCAGAGGGGGCTATTCCCCCAACTGTCCTGGCCAGGACAGCAAGGCACACACCCGCAGGCTCCCAGCCCTTCAGGATTTCAATGGCTGCTGCCAAACTCTGCTGCTGCTCCTGGAGTCAAAGGAATGTTGAGCAATCTTTGGAATTTTTTCTGCAGAGAAACAAGTACTTTTGAATTCCAAATTCCATTCAGGCCTCCTGAGCCGGCACATTGTCTGCAGGAGTCTGCAAAGTCCCATCTTCCTTAGCGAGAGCGTGGAGAGTACTGGGGGACTTTTCCCTGTTTATATTCTTCTGCCGCTGGCAGGGCTGTAAGACACCATTGCGATGAGGTCATGGGGCCCTGCCCCTCTGCATCTACGGGTGGCTGAGCTGCCAGAACCTTGCTGTCCTGTCCCAATGGCTCAGTGTATTCAAGGATATGCTGGGGGATGGGCAGGGTCAGGAGGGCTGAAGAGCGGTCCTCAAATCACTGCAGCCCCAACCTAGGCTGTACTCTCAGGACATCCCTTCCTCATACCTGACCCTTACTTGTGGCCCTGAGTGGCCTAAGGGCTCCAGGTCACACTGTCCAGTTTCCTGGGTACTAATGTGGGGACTCGACTTGGCATCTGGGAAGTTTTAGAATTAATCAAGGCCTTGCAAGTAGTTCTCAGTTCAAATGCACCTCCTCAGAGAAGCCCTTTCTGATGCCCCTCCACTAAGACAAGTTCTCCTGGTGCGTGCCCTTGTCCTCCTAAGCATTTCTTTGTTACTAACAACTGTCTGTGAATTTGCCTAATGTGTTTTCCTCTTCGAGTCTTATTCCAGACAGTGTTAGCTTCCGTAGTTCCTATCCACTTACAGCCAGGTAAGTAGACGATCAGTCTCCGGAGAGGTGGCTCAGTAGTTATGAGCCTTTGCTGCTCTTCCAAAGGATCCCAAATCATTCTAAGTATCTACATCAGGTGGTTCACAAATGCCTGTAACCCCAGGTCCAGAGGATCTGACACTTTCCTCTAGAGTGCTCATGCACATGCGTGTGCACACACACAGCAAACACACAGATATATACGCATAAGTAAACGCGAATCTTAAAAAATATCATAGTGCTGTCTGGTATATAAAGTGTAGGCTTCCGATCCACTCTGGTCATATTGCAAGTCCCTAGCCAAAGTGAGCTAACTCAAGGAAAGTCAGCTTTGCACTCACTGGTCCTGTTCACAGCCCCTGTTATGCTGGTTCTGGATGAGTCCTGATCCCAACTGTACAGCCTTTCATTTGTCCTAGGTTTGAGCAACCCCTGAACGTTTCAAAGCCCACTACACCCATTCTTCTGTCCATACCTCAAGGCTAAAAGAAGTGTTTCCACAGAAGAAACTCCTGTCCCAAAGGCATGGGCTCTGGGTGCATGGTTTTGAGTACCAGGGCAGAAGGAGAAGGTGGGAGATGGATACCAGGTGGAAGGTGAAGTCTTGGGGAAAGGGGGACCGTAGGGCAGCATAGAGAGCCTGGCCAGGCCTCTGATACAAGGACACAACCTCTTTAGAAGGCACTGGAAACAAGGCAGAGTGTGTATGCCCTGAGGACTGGATCAGAAACCTGCACGTCATAAACCAGATGTCTTTATTCTTGTATTGTCTAGGCTACTTTTCCTTTTTTTTTTTTTTTCCCCTTCAGGGAAGTGGTGGAGGGGGAGGGGAGTTGGAATAGTGCAATTGGCCTCAACTGTGCAAAGGGGACCTAGGAAATGGGTTTGTAACTAAGTGTGTATCTGGCCTCCAGGTGGGAAGACCTTAAAGAGGAAGACACTGAGGGACAGAAGAGCCATTGTTCATTGCCTCCGAACCCTGCCAAGTACCTGTTGAGATCACAACTTTCTGTAGAAAACCTGGGGCTTTTGCCATTGGGAGAAGTAGGTTGCCTAAGCCACTTCCCAGACTACTTGTGAGACTGCTACATTCACACCGGGATCTAGGAGATGCATCAGACAATACAGAGATTAAATCAGGAAGTCACACACGTGCTAAGTGCTGTGAGAAAATCAGGGAACGAGGGTTTCTCCGTTGAGGCAGACAGTAGTAGTGACTGCAGGGAAAAAGAAACTGAATCAAATTGGCACTGGGGAACATGTACCCCAAACCAAGGAGACCTGTCTGAAGTGTTGAGAAGAGAAAATGGCAGCAAAGTGTTTGGTTGAAAGTGTCACCCAGCCCCTGGCATCCATATACCCAAAGAGTCTGAATGTTCGGGTGGAAGTTCCATCTCAAGTCCCCTCCCCTGGAAGTTGCCTCAGTCCAGGCCCCACCCCGAAAAAGCCCGCCAAATGATGACCCCTCCCCAGAGATGCTCCAGACCAGTCCTATAGGGTATTTAAATTATACCCCAGAGAACAAACATATGGTTTTTTTTTTTTTGCCTTCTACCCCCATCTCCTCTTTGGTATCCATTAAACCTGCGCTTTTTCTAATTTGGTTTGATTTGGTCTGATTTGGATTTTTGTGTCGGCAGAGAGGCTTATGGGGGTGCGGAAACTTTTCATAAAGGTGGGATGACGGGGTTGGGAGACGTCCTGGAGATGAGCAGTGGGCATGCGGGCTGTCTTTCCAAATGCTGAACAGACTTCCCAGAAGAAAGTTGGGAGCCCCAGAGGGTTATATCCCCCTGGCTTCTATATCGAGAAAAGACGGACAGACAATGGGGAATACAGAAAACTTCTATGACAGCTTCGGTGAGGGATCACAGGTTAGGTCTGCCTGGGAGGAGGAACAGCAAGCACTGAGGTGGGAGGGGGTCCTAGATAGAGGGAAATAAGCAGGATTTGTTGTTTTTTTTAAGACATGGTTTCTCTGTGTAACCCTGGCTGTCCTGGAACTAGCTCTGTAGAGCAGGGTAGCTTTGAACTCGGAGATCTGCCTGCCTCTGCCAGTGTTGGAATTAAAGTCATGCACCACCACACTTGGAAGGCAAGATTTGCTGCTGATGGCTTTGATGTGGGGTGTGAGACAAAGAGGACTCCATGGCTTTGGGTTTACTGCCAGAAGGATAGAGATGACTTAGATCATGAGTGTTGTTAGTTACTGACCATCAACCTTAGGGCGATTCCCCGGCCAACACCTCTGCCTGCTCATTTCATTCACTCCTCATAACCCCAAGAGACCGGAGCTGGAGCCCGCGATCCAGGGAGGACACTGATCTGAACTATGGCCGCTAGCATATGAGTGTGGCGCTCAGATGCCCTGGGTGGGTTTGACCCACGAAGCAAAGGTACACGTCTGACTGCAAGGGTCCAGACGCTGGTTCCTTTGTCTCCCGTGACTCTGCCTGACTCCCTCCCCAACACTGCACACCGGGCCCTCCCCAACAATCAATCTCTCTCAAGCTACAAAGTTTTCCCAAGGCCCCACGTCTCCCTCTGTGTGTACTGGGACTTCTCTCAGCTCATTTGAAAAGGAATAGTGGAGTAATAAGGACCAAAATATTTGGAGATTGCCTCAAAGGCCTTGGGCAGATGGATGAGCCATGACTCAAGGATGACAGGTGGGAGATAATGCAGGGAGGCGCAGCAGCTGTCCGGTTTTTACTGGCCTTTGTATGAGCACAGCCAGCTCTGAGACAGGTTTCTCCAAAGGCAGCAAGCTGGAGCTGCTGCTGCCCAGTCCTCACGATTGCTTTCCCTTTGACGTCACCAAGTCCTACTTGCAGGCAAAGCACACAACTTGGAAACTGATCTAATTAGGTAGGGGTACAATGCTTGTTTTGTGTGTGTGTGTGTGTGTGTGTGTGTGTGTGTGTGTGTGTGTGTAAAAGCCATACAGGTAAATGGAAAATGTAGACATCCATTCTGTGACTTCAGAAACTGAGTACTGTCACTCCAACCCAATGTCCTGCACATCCTTTGAAGAGTGGAAAAGAAGACTGTGACCTGTGGAAGCAGATCTCTGCCCAGCCAGAGCCTGTCCCTGGGCTCCATGTTTAGCAGCAGGCTGCTAAGAATTGGTGTAGCAATGAGCCCA